CACTGGAAACAAAAGCAGAAAATCAACTCTGTTAACAAGTAATAATATCACTGAAGAATTAAAAGGGCAAGAAACTAGAGAAAAAAAAATCCCTTTAAAATTTATCATAATAATTAACAAAACTAAAAATAAGTCTGAAATATATTTCACTGTCTTATATATTCAATCAGTTTACACATACAATTTTCAACCAATAGTTTTATCAGTTTGGGTACTCATCCTGCATCACCCAAGACCACTATTTAAGGATGTTAAGCCTCTGCAGATCTATCTCAAGTCAAAGTGAGATTCAGGGACTAAAAATAAGCCTCATTTTGATGAGTTCTCAAAAACAGGGCGTCCAAAACACTGGCCACTTAGGAACATCTGGGCTAATGTACATAAAATACTATTAAGGATACTGGACTCTTAATTCCCAATACTTCCCTGTTAAATTCTTTTATTCTGTTCCTCAGCTGACCTTTTCCTGAATTTATATAGTGTGTTTTATTAGTGCTGCTTTGAGCTAGACATTGCTATGCATTTTAACCAGGATATTTTAAACTACAAGCCCCACACCTACCAGTGAAGTCCACATCAACAGAACCTTGTACTCCCACAGAGCTTAAGGCAGCAGGAGGAACAACAGTTGGTTATAACGCTGAGTAAATCAGCTGGTATTTTCAGAGAAGTCTAAGAAAATCAGAGTAACAAAATCCCAGTTGTCTTATATGGCCCCTGAGTTCCTTAACTCCCTTTGGACTTACTCATAAGATAATCAAATTTGTAACAAGGGAGCATTTCTGCAATTATTTGGGTAGCTCTTTGAGGCTGCTGTCAGGCCCGCCCTCTGATTAAACTAACAAATACATGAATAGAGCACGTGTATCTACATGAAGCAGATTTTTAAGTCCTCTTAGAAAGTTCTAAAGCACTGTGACGGCCTTCACACAAGTGACCCCTTCACCTGAGGAGATGGCAACTTAGTTGGAAAACACCTGCCAGAAATCTTTAACTCAGAAAAAAGAAAGCAAGATGCAGAACTGAGGTTAACAGTACTATGGCAATTAACTAAAAAATATGTTAGTTCACAAAGAAACCCAAACATCATCTTCACCAAACAAGTTCATTCAGCTTTCTGACTATCTGAATCAACCCACAAACATTAATTACTACCTGATTTACAAACATATTGAGTGCCGTATTTGGTTAAATAAATGAACATAGCATTGCTTTTTATTTTTTAGGAGATCTGGTAGGGAACTTTACAGCTAGCCACGCTCCATTACAGAAGACAAGGCCCAGGCTTAGGCTGCATACTGTAAAGTGCATATTTTTATTTCAATGACCTTTGAACTGGACTGTATGCATACAACTAAAGATAATCTCAGTTGCACTACCTAGCTTTGGTTTCTTTTCAGTTTCTATCCTTCAGATCTACTTACAGAGCCCTGTTCAAAAGCCATGTAGTCAAACACAGCCATACATATGTTCTCATAAAAGAGACTTATTTTTTATTTATAAATCTTGTGGCTACAGCAGTAATTTCTACAAAAAAAGATAGTCAACTGCACTAACATGACATGTCTCATATACTGCTGAAATTCATAAGTTAAAAAATGACTGCCTTGTTCTGGTGAGGACAGCCCCTCCTGCTCCCAGTCTCTTCAAAGTAGGTGTGCTATATTTTAGTGCACTTAAAGGATGGCATTTAAATTTAAAGGCAGTGAGAACTGCCACTTTGGGAGTTATTGCAAAGCAACAGTTTTGCAAACTCTAGACAAGACTTTCAGAATACACAAGGTCTATGATGCATTTTTGTGCTTGCCACGTACATTTTATTTTTGCCGTTAACAAGTAAGTGTACAGTAACTATCTACTATCTTGAAGAGAACCAACTGTTTCTTCTTCATTGACCCAATGGAAGATGCAAAAAATTCAAGTCTTTTAGCTGAAAGAATTTTCATCCAGTATAGCTGTCTAGACTCATCATGCTCATTATGACTGCAGTTCACTGTATAAATCTTATTAGGCACTCTAAAAAGAACACTATCAATTTTTAGCATTGCTTTAAAATCTCTACTCAGTGCAACTATAAAATTTCAAAACCAGTAGATTTTATTTATCTGTAGGTATTTAAATGGGTTGATCTTGTAGGTTTTGGGTGTCCAATCACACTGTGTTTATCTGCGCAGAAATTATACACTCACTTGCCAATACAGTAAAAGGGTGGAATGCTTCACAATGATCTTAGCAGTAACTCAGAAAAACGACCACTTCTTCAATGCAAATCCGCTCAAGAAAAGCTTCTACACACAAAGTAAGATGAACCAGTTACTGCATTGTTTATTAAGTTTCACTTGATTTCTCCTGACAACCATTTAAACAATGAATGTTGGGAAATGTCTCTCAAAGAATCAGCAACAATGGCTGGGATCAGGGCTTTTGTATTTAGCTAATACTGTTTTTAGAAAGGAGAAAATATTTCTTCCTGAAGGGATTATAAAGTCTTATAAAAGACACCTGCAAACAAAACAAGTGACAAAAGATCTCTATCATAATTGATAACAGTTATCCTGTGTAAAAATCTATGCTTCTTCAGAAATAAATATATCTTTGCTATTGAATTTCAAAAGGCATCCACTAACCAACAAAACTGCTGATCAAGAACAGGAAGTTTGAGGAAACCTGCCAAGAAGGAAGTGCTTTTGTCTTATGGATAGCAGCACATTATTAGTCAACAATAAGATCCTAAATTTTCTTTTCTGATGCCAAACAGGTAAGCTTTGAAGCATAGTATGTTTTTAATAGTGTACTGGACATGTAACATCTACTTCATTTTTTTTAAGAAGGAAAACTTCCACTCAGAATTCAAAGTTTGGAATTGAGAAATAATTCAAAAGCCAATTTAAAGGAAATGCAAAAACTAATCAACATGAGGGGAAATGTTTACAAAAATGCAGATTACAGTAGGAGCCCGAAAGAAGAAAACAGTCACCTAGAGAGCAAGAGTTTTCATTCTTTCATCCCAAACTAGTTAAGTTTTGGTAAGCATATATGGCCTAAAGTATCTACATACTGGTCAAATAACTAAGTTTTCCTATCTGCTAGTAGATGACTCAGCCCTTTTTATGTGCCGTGCATACAGGTCGTCTCCTTCCTTAGTTTTCTTTTGGAGCAAACCAGTTGATTCCCTTGGAAAAAGGGAAGAGTGTAATTCTCAAAACAGTTTGCTTCAGGGTCTGCTCCCAAAGGGAAGTACGGACAAGACCACACCAATTTTGTCTCCCTCTGCTTATGCAGACTTCTCTAATACTTTCCCAGCAAATTTTGCATCCTCAGACAACCCCACATGCCTTTAAAACACATGCCAGGGCATGCAGGACACCCACTCAGTTTCTTGCTAAGAAAACACCATGCAAGTGGGCTGCAACACAACTCTCACATTACTGAAAATGCACAGAAATAAGGACAAGGGTTAATCATTTTATCTCAAAACCACAGCATCCAAAGGATGCTCTGGCCATGTGTAGTATGAACATACATGGTGATGTCTGCCGTAAAGGGGACAAAGCCCTCTGCACTGCTTGGTCTAACAGCCAAGGAGCACTATGCAGAAGAGATGGTTTTGAATTTGTGGATGTTAAATCCTATGCTAAGAGAAGAGGATAATGACTGAAGGACAGCCTGATCTTCCAGCCAAAAAAAAAGAAATATGTATTGTCCCAAGAGACCTGAAAAAGTAAAATAGTCCGTCTAATAAGACAGAGACTGAAGAAAATGATCAATCTGTATAACCAGTAGAAAACAAGTGGTATATTACAGAAAGATGGTTATATTGTACTTTCAGGAAAGAGTTTGTCAGGACCTTAAAAGCCCATGAACTCAAAATCTTGAAATTCACTCCCTAACTCTCAAAAGACCCCAATCACTTTAAGTGACAGGTAAAACACATCACCTTCCTTTCTTCCCCAAAAATGACATGTGGCACTGTAATGCTTTGCAAAATAAACATAAATCTTAACTTTAACAACTTAAACAAACTAGGAAAAACTTTATCTTAAAAAGTGTTTTTAACTCACTCCTTGGAACATACCTTTTTCTTTCCTATTTTCAAGAGTTCAGCACTAACACGATTAAACTGCTCAACCCACAGTGTCTTTGGCTTATTTTTAAAGAAGTCAGAACAAGGTTTAGATCCTGAATAAGTTATCTCTAAGAGACAAAGAGAAGTTAGCAACAGAACCTTAAGAAACCTTTCTGATTTGAGCATGACAGCTCTGATCCACTAAGTGGATTCAAGTCACTGCTTTCTCTAGCCTCCATGATTGTGTATGATTCATGTTATTTTTGTACAGCACACTCATTTTTTTTTCAGCTTTATCCTTCCACATTTTTTATAAGGAGGATTAAATAAGCAACTGCAACAGAAAAATTACCCTGATGTCATATATAATCCCTTATCCTTTCATCATCATCAAAATCTCAGTGCTTTGTCCATCTTTCTTGTCTGCAATTTATTTCACTTGTTCCTATTAAGGCTATTATATTCACCCTATTACTACTAATCTTTTCTTTGTAAATAGCCACACCTATTTTAATCCAAAATGGTGTGGTAAGCATTTGATTCTTTGTGGAAGTAGACATTTAATTAGGTTAATCTGTGCTATCTTTTCATGCAAGTTGATTGTTTCTTTACTATGGACATATTTCTTATAACAGCAATAAGCTTGCCAGATTGCTTGAAGGCAAATCAGGAGCAATTTACCAAGCATGTAGCTACTATGAACTGAAATCTTGACATAATAGCAAGCTGTGTATAGCCACTCCTACCTGCCAGTTATTACTCATGTTAGCTTTTTACCGACACATTAAATTTCAACCACACCCTTCTTTCACAAACAAGTACTTTCTTTCAACTCAGCTACATCTGTGACAAATAGCTGATCTTCACCAAAGCACACGGGAATATAAATACAGAATGCAGTGCAGAAGGCTTTGACAGCAGCAACTGAAATTACCTGCACAAAGTCCAAGAATGTCAATGGAAGCAAGTCATCCAGGTGGCCAATATCTTTGGAGAAACGATTCAAGATTCTTCCTACAGAAACAGAGTTGGAGAAGAAAATAAAAAGAAAGCAAATATAATTCCAGAAAAGATCAAAATATCTCAAACACACCACATTTTACCATTTTAGTAACAGTTAAAAGGAAACAGCTGGAATCTAAAGATAAAAAGACAACTTCTGAAACCACCATGAAGGGAATCTTTCACAACCACTGCAATGTATTTTGAAGAATACTTTTTTACAAATGTCTTCAACCCAGATATAAACTCTGTGCTTAAAATGCTATGAAAAAATTAAAATGGGCTTTGAAGATAATAGTTCAATGGAATTTAACACGTAAAACACGCTTTATATGCTCAGCATGTGCAGGTAAAGGTTTACAGTTTGGACAACTTAGTGCAAGTTTCATCAAGTAACATCAGCCAGAATTTGCTCCTATCCTGAAACTCACTAGTGCTCACATGTCCCAGATAGATCATAGTTGATCTAACTGATCCTTTTTAGTATTTCTGTTCCCACACCTCCATCGTTATACGTGGGTTCAAATTTCAGGCATTTCTGAAATGAAATTTGAGACAGATTTTATGCAGCCTTACATTTATACTCATTCAAAACCCTGACAATACTGATCTTTATTTAAGCTAATAAAACAATTTTTAATCTGCTGTCAGTGAAGCATTTACGCTTCTCTATTTTCCCAAGTTCTACTTGAGTGAAAAATTCAGTTACAGCAAGAGTACTGTAACAATTAAAGTCACAATGCTGCCACCTGTAAGTGGATTAGTGTCTTTCTCTATTAATCGATATCTCTACTCACCAGGAAAGAAACTAAGCTAAGGATGGGAATCTGGCCTTTTCTAAGGTGTGTAATGCCCCTACATGCATTCACGTTGCTTTTTTTATCTACATATATCTTGATTCAGTTATTACTTCTAACTGGTACAAACACATTCACTACATTGGCAACAAAAGACTTTTCTTTCTCTTTTCAAAGGAGCTCATTAAACTGAAAGTAGTTCAGTTTAAAGTTTCCAAGGAGTGCGTTGGAGACGTAATTCAAAGATAAAAGATACTGAAGTAACTTCTGTAGCAATCATTGTTTCAGTTTTCTGTTCACAGCTGCCTCGGGATTATGGATTTTGTTGCGTAATACTGACTTCTTCTTTTAAGGGAACTTCTGTTCCACACCAAGCAATATACAAAACATGCTCTGCTAAGGCCTGAGACAAGGCTCCAAAGAGAGATATCGATGACTAACAGCTTGTTCTGCACTACTTTAACACCAAAAGCAGTTACTTAAGGCAGACAACAGTAGAATTTATCTGCATTTTTAGGCTTTACACAAGGAAGAGGAAGGGTATGTAACAGCACAAGACAGCATCTCCTTCATGTGTTTTACTGGGAATGGCAGCTGTGGATGCTCCCTTTCACTTATTTCCTGTTGGGGTAGACACATCAGAAGGAGCTCCAAGGCAATTTTTTTGCATGTTTCCTTTTCCTCTGATTTCCTTACACAGAGACTAGCTGCGGACAAGTGATATAGCACATACGGCACACGTGCTGTAAGCATATCCCTAAATATCCCATTCAGGTTATTTTCAAATGAACCAAGACTTCACAGGAAAAAAAAAGATCATTCAAAGGTTAAATGCTTCCTTCTGACAGGACTTTCCTTAGCAGTTTGTCCAGGAGGGAACCAAAACGGCACATTGGACTGGCTCAAAGTATTAACAATTTGTATCATGGAATCATAGAATAGTTACTTGCCTGCGTGACTTTATTTTACAGACTGAAGAGCAGAGCAAGGAAGATGACAGTGCCAGGCCCCTCTGTGAAATGCTCTGAGACCCACCAATTGCAAGCTGTACACAAGGGCAAAAGATTATTCCTACAGAGAGCAAATCATACCTTAATTCAGCCTTAGAATCTCCCTTCGTCTCTTAACCCCAAATATGTTTTATTTGCAGTGTTTTCAGACTGATGTAAGAAGCTATTGCACAAACTATCTGCAACACCATGGGAAGGCAGCAAGGTCACTCAGGCTGGCTACTTTCCATAGCCACAGCACAAGTCGGGTCAATGTCAGCACCTCCAGGAATCAAGCAATGTGTTTACAGTCGCCGTCATCCCACAGGTGGGAGAGCACATACAAACTTGTTCCTGGAAAATCACTTACTCTCATTTTGTACAGTACAGACAAGGCCTGAAGGGCTACAGAAGCCATTACAAAGTCAATGTAATGTTGCTTGCTGTGAAAAGAGATTTAACTCTTGGGTTGTTTCACTTCCAGCAGTATCTCAGAATTTAGCTGTTATTTCCCTCCCTTGAGATTTCTATTGAAGAATCACCTGGTAAAGTTGCTCAAGGAGGAATTTGCTGATTTTGAGTCTGGGTTTTAGTTTGGGATTTTTCATCAACCGTGGATATGACAGGACACGACATTTCAGTTGGAAGGGACCTACAGCAATCACCTAGTCCAACTGCCTAACCAGTTCAAGGCTGACCAAAAGTTTATCCAAATGCCTCTTAAACACTGACAGGCTTGGGGCATTGACCACCTCTCTAGGAAGCCTATTCCAGTGTTTGATCACCCTCTCAGTAAAGAAATGCTTCCTAATGTCCAGTTTAAATCTCCCCTGGTTCAGCTTTGAACCACTCCCACACATTCTATGACTGGATATCAAGGAGAAGAGCTTAGGAGAAGGCTGTGACAACCTCCAACCATTTCCTGAGAAAATTTGTGTTGCAACAAGAGCTTTAGGCTCCAAGCACGACACAAATCTGTCCTTGTGCTTTCAGGGGTAAAAAAGCTGGTATAGATATAAAATGAGAGCTGCTGAATACTTGCTTTCATGCTGTACACCAAGAGCAACTGCAGCAGTATTTCCCTCCACAGCAACACCTCTTCCAGGGAAGTTCTTTGAGGAACATAGTCTGAAAGAAAAGCTTAGCTCACCTGAGCTGGCCTCAGTAGTCCTCTAGCTTTACTATCTCTTCTGTGTTTCCATTAACCACCAACTACTCAAATTCCCATTGGTAATCAAGCTGCTAATCAATTGCCAAAACTGTATTTTTGGCAATCACCTTATTAAATGGTTAACAGTGTTTCTATAGACTGTTCTGACCAAACTGTGAGCTGACACTAGGAAAGTGGAAATTAATCTGACAATATCAATGAAACATGAAAACATCTTTTAATCTGGCTAATCCTCTTTAAAATGTAAATACAGTAATTCTGTAATATGATACAGACTAAAATATGAGTGAGCAAAAGAAACAATATATGAAAAAGACAGACCTTGACAATTGGAGCCTTTTACACTCCCCCTGATACAAGTAAAGCAATTTAAACAATGGGGACGTGAACCAGCTCCTTCCCAAATTAAACACTCAGGTGAATCTCTGGTAGCAGAACTTTTTTTTTTTTAAATTTTCAAGTTACTGAAAAAAAGTTACTTATGATCTATTTAGTGTTTACACATAATAATTCTGGAAAACATCACCTGAAGTCATGACGCCTACAAAAATACCTCGCTTCTTGCTAAGAGGTTCACATCTCCATCTTGTAACATTAATTCGGTGACCATTAATGCTTTTCTACTGCTAAAGCAAGTGACAGAGCCACAAGCCTTAGCCCTATTTTTGTTATTGCTGGTTTTCAACAATATTACCCCAGTGACTGTATAGAGAGATGTATTTCAGACCCTGTTCATACGGATATAACTGAACTGGCATTTTATTCAGCATTTGTCCCATGCAGAAACAAGCTACAGTAATCTACAAAAGCAAATTCACTCGCCGTATACCAGAGTGTGCACCTCCAAGTAGAAGTGTTTTGCTTTGGAAATATCTGCAAAATGCGCCATAGCCATTGTGATACTGCTTCCAGAGTGATTGCTACATTTCTAAGGATGTCTACAAGTGGATTTCACAAGGCATGAAGAAACAACTGTTTCTACGTACTGGAAGCACAATAAAATCAGTGGCTTGCTTATGCATTATTAAACATGCAAGCAAGAGGAAACATTCCAGATAGGGAAGTTCAAGGAGCCATTTTGAGTCAGGACTCAAAATGCTTACAGTTATGACTATAGTTTCTATTAGGATTTTCAAACCTAGCTTTTGGGAATGGTTCTTCAGATAAAAGAAACCATTACACCTGCAAAACTCATTCCCCCACAAAGAAAAAATATTTTCCTCTCCAGAACTTTTAATATCCTTCTCTCCAAAACTTACAGACTATCAATACCACCTTCCCACAATACTTCACACTTTCAAACCCCCCAAATACCTTAAGTAAGCATTCTGTGATACGGATATATGCCAAAAGACAGCAATTCTTAGATCTAGTCTAGTATTTTTGATTTACAAAACTCTTCAAGCTCACTTAATACTTGCATCCTTTACTTATCCCAGTGAGTTTCACTCTGGGCTTCAAAAGCAAAAAGAAAACAAAAAAACTTGTAAGGCAAAGGAGATTTCGAGAAAGCACTAACAAAACAGTCTTTTAAGAAACCAAGAACTAAGCATGCCGATATTACAACAGCATCCAAACTCGTGAATAGTATCTGCCTTTTTAATCACTCAGGCTTCCATGTGGTGTGTGGCATCAGTAGCAAGCTGCAAAAGGGAACGTGCTCTCTTCAACAGTCCTGTGTTTGTTTTTACATCAAATAACTTAATCAGAACACACACTGTTGTTAGATTTCTTCCGAAGTAATTAAATAACTATTCAATGCCAATTAATCACAGTTAAATAAGGGTCTGTCACCAAAGTGCTATGTACACATTTCAGACTATTTAATGGTCAAATACTTGGCAGTATGAAAGTTAAACAATGATTCATTAAACCTCCTCGACTACACAATAGTTAGGCTAAACTTGAAGTGAAAGAATCAAACCTCTTTTGTTCTCCATGAAAAAGACATCAAACTTCAGTACGTGATATTCTTTTCTGTCCCACTCTGTAAACTCCTTTAATTGCATGAATCAGAATGTGTTCAGGTGCTACATACCCACTTTGCTTCTGCAG